CCACCCCACCCCCACTGTTCAAACCCCACTAGGGTTCGAACTCATGGCTTCTACCACTTGCGAATTATTTATGTTTCATATCAAACACTGGATGTCTGTTTTTAAAGTGGCAGCTTCTTAATTTAAACCTTTCTCCCTTCTAGGAACTTGTTGAGATGGTCAAAGCAAAGAAAGCTGCTCAAGAGCAAGTGCTAAATGCAAGTAGAGCCAAAAAATGACAATCTTCGTTATGTGTGCATTTTTTATAATAAAACTGAAAATACTATACAAGGTTTCATTTTCAAAATACATTAATAATTTCAAAGTGTGTTTCCAACCCAGTTTCTCAGCATAAAGGCTGACCATTATACAATCATGGTGGTAGTCTGAAAGTATGACAATATTTAATTCAAATTTTCAAGTACATTTTTATTTTTTCCTTCGATAGCTTAAAACCTGCTGGTCTCTTAGTTTTACAAATGTATTTGATTAAAAGTATTTTAATCATGATGCCAGCACATATTGCTGCAAATCTGGTGAAAATCTGGTAGCTGCTCAATGGGACCTATGGATTAGAAAGAAGACAGTTAAAGCTGAATATAAAAGTACATGGCCAAGCTTCTGCACAGGAAATAGAAGAACCAGGCTTACCAACAGCAGCAACAGCTGGACTTTTACCATAAATGTATTTGGTACACACTTCTCGAATTGTGTCAGCATTCACAGCCTAAAAAAAAAGGAAGATGTTATCATGCATAGCTTTCTGGTAGTAAGGCAGTTCTAATAGTGGGAATTTTTAAACTAAGAGCAACATTTAAGGAACAAATTTTCAGCTTTTGTAACAAGGATCCTTTTACACAAGACCCAATAGTACCACTTACATCAATTCTTGCTTCAAGCTCAGGGATGGGAATTCTTCTATTATAGCATAACATCTGCCTGCCAATATCTTCACAAATTGGAGTTGATCCTGTTTAAAGAGTAAGTATTGAAATACATAGATCAACCATATAGAAGGTGGTAAAAACCTAAACTT